TGGCTTGATGTACCATCGTTGTAATTACATATAAAACTTCGTCTATACTCTAATAAAAAGTTCCCCAGACCAAAGAGATCACCTTAATACCAAAATATATATATATATATATATATATATTTTTATATAAATTACTTAATAAAGATATAAGCAAGACCTTTATGATTATTTATATAAATTACTTAATAAAATATAAGCAAGGTTTCACCTTTTAATATATATAAAAAAAATATTATATAATATAAAAACTATTGTAATACTTAACAAAATTAAATAAAAAACTTAATTTTTAAGTTTTTGAATTTATTAATTTACAGTAGTTGCACTTTAATTACAAAATCTATTTTTATTCTAATATAACTTTAAACTTTATTATAAATTATTATAAAATTTAGAATAAGATTAGATACTTGTTAGATTTATATATTTATAAAAAATAAATTTTGTATTTAATATTTAAGGGTAGAGACCGTGTCAATCATTTTTATTATAAAACATGTGACTAGTAAAAAATGATCTGTGGAGCAGAATCATGTGATATTCGACCAATCAAATTATGATCTTTGGCAAAGCAAAACTAAAAAGTCTAAAATACAAAAATCAGTAATCTAAACTTTCTTTAGTGAGTTAATTAAAAATATTGGGAAGACAATTTTTTTTCTAATATAACTACTGTATTTAATATCTAATTAACAATAATCTAAGATGACTCTAACCCTTAAATTAATTTGATAAAATATGTACTATATTATAAAAATCTGCTTTGTTTTAGACATCTTTCTACTTTTGTTAACCAATAAAAAATAACTATAACAGATAATAAAAATGCCTGGTATTATTACATGGATATATATTATATTTTTTATTGTCCAAAGTAGTAGTTACATTCAAAGTTTCTACTACAAACCAACTATTATTATAACTTTCCTGATAGGCTTTGCTAGTATTAGATATATTAGACTTTCATTAATAAACACTTGTTCATACTGTAATCTAAAAAAATATTCTTAAAAATAGTTTATTTTGTTATTACAAATATACTAAATGATATTTAATTAGCAAACTACTTCATGCACTTTTATGCGCAAGATTAAGAACACTTCAAATCGCTTTAATATTTAAAAAAACTAACAAAACAAAGACAAACATACTTAAGGTTTATTTTTTTGCTCTTTTTTTTTAAGTTTATTTAAAACAACTATATATTCTTAACGAATTTTTTTTACATCTGTTAAATTTTAATTTGTCTAACATTATATAAGAAAAATAATCAACATGGTCTCTACCCTTAATATTGTAAATTAATAGATTCAAAAACTTGAAAATTAAATTTTGCTATATATTAAACTATTGTTATGCAGTAGTTTAGTTTTTCAAATTAAATTAATTTTGACTAAACTATTTAATTATACAGTAATACAAAATTTTAAACTACCAACTTTTTTTAAAAATAATCAAATTTGAAAAAATACTAACTTTAATTGGCTAATATTTTAATTTTATTATATTTCTAAAAATTTTTTATAAAGTTTTATAGCCAGATTTTAATTTTAATAATAACTTTAAAAAGAAATGATATTGTCAAATTTAGCTATATTAAAAAACAAATTTTATAAATTTGTTTCGCTTAATTTTTTTTTATATTTTTATACAAAAAACTTTTTTTTTTAGCTATTTTTTTATTTTTTATAAATTTTAAAAAAATTAAATTAAACTTATTAATTAATTCTTGTAACCCAACCGGGTTATATTTAGCAAAAATTTTTTTAAAAAATATTTAACTATATTTAATATCCGAGTAAAATTTTTAAAATTTTATTTTTTGTATATAAAATTTTTTGAAAATAAAATTAAAAGCCGGTTACCGGGTTATTTTTAAAATTTTATGAGAATCAAAAAATTAACTTTATATGACCTTATACTGCAGTTGCTAATTTAAAATGTCCTATACAGAACCATCTACTATATACAGTATTAACAAATTTAATGTCCAATTGGTTTTGAACATATATCTAATTGATTTATTGATTTTGGATGTCCAATTGACTTTGAAAACAATATATAGTTTTAAAAAAGTTAGCTTTAAGGTATAAAAATAAAATGTTAAAGCAGTTATTTAATACTTTATTAGAATATATAAAGAGGGACTATATCAGTATATAGATTTTTTATCTGTTACGTAGCTTCCTTATTATACATTATATATATACGTATAAATTATTTATACAGTATAAAATTTTGTAATGCTATACAAATTAATTCCTGGTTTTCATAACACGAAGCTTCTAAGTAAACCTAGCTGGCCGGCTTTTAAAACCCACCCGGTTAATACAGCTATTTTCATAAATTCTAAACACCTAAAATTTGCTCGTTTCCCGAAACCTCTTCAATCTCGTTCTAAGAATCACCTAACTTTTCGAAAACTATGTCATTGTCTCTATTGAAGTTCCAAGGACGGCGAAGTAGTTTCCGAAAAGTTTTATGATTCATAAAACGAGATTGATGAAGTTTCGGGAAATGAACAAATTTTTAGGTGCCCCAGGATTTATGAAAACAGCTGTAAAAAATAAAAAAAAAAACTTTTAAAAGTTTCGGAAATTTGGCCTGGTTAAGAAAACAGTATATAACTTTATACAAATTTAATTAATAATAATAATTACGTATACGTATAGGCTGAATTATACTATTAATTAATACATATAACGATAAGTTAATTAATAATAAAATTTTATAATCTTTATGACGATATATATAAATGCTGAAAATGATATAATAAGCTAGTAATTATCACTGCAAGAACTGTTCACAGTTTATACGAGGTTCTCGTTTTTCACAAACATTTAAAATTCTTTAGGCTCTAATAGAAAAAGTCGAAACGCTATAATACTGTTCAGTATAACGATAATTGCTGTATTAATTAACGTTAATGTTTAGACTTTGGATATATTAGCAAAACTAGTAAATTTGTATCACTCGTTTCAGTGTGTTTCCCGATTCCCGATATTTAACAAAATTACATATTGTTGGATCTAACCCGGCGATTTCACCGAAGCTGATGTTTAAATAGAATCCAATCGGCCCATCGCATGAGGTTCTCTTACCGTGACAGTTAACTTCCACTATTGAATCGTCATAATAATATCGTTTTCATATTAATTTATATTTCCTATATACAAAAAAACTTTTTACACAATCGCACTTAATTGAAAAACGAACATACTTGTTTCTCTTACTGAATCTTGTCCAAGATGACAGGTGAGTGTTGAGGGAACTGTAAAAACCTCGCAAAATTTTTTTTACGCTCTACAGCTCGTTTGCAAAACAGCTTTGTTGAATTTGCATCATAAACTGTTGTAAACTTGCACAAATAAAAAAATATACCGTCACGGTAAAGAAACCTGATGTCAATGTAGCTGAGTCTGAATAGACATAAGCCAGCTCTATCTTCTTTGCGCCCTTCCTTTTCCCTTATTCATCACCTTTCTTTTCGTCATTCGTTCGCGTATACACGTCTTTTAAATTTCAATCTTCCTTCGGATCCATGCTCGCGTTGTTCGGATTACTTTTAAACTATTCTTTCTACTTTTACAAAATTTGAACTTCAACCCTTTGTACTATACACTTTTCCGTAAACTAGCTTTCATTACAGCATCCTTCTGCTTACTTGTTAATTTAATTATTCTCTCTTACCCGAAACGATCATCTTGTCACCATCTTCAAGATTTTGGATCTTCGCGTCACACGTCGAGATTTTTCTTACATTTTAAAGCGCCTAATAAACATACCAATTTCACATTTAATCCTTTACACGTAGTTTTAGTTCTCTGCTAAATAAACGCGCAATTATGATATATCTATCCATTATAATTTGCACAATCAGCATACAGTATTCTTTGAGATATTTACTTGATTTTAATAAAAATGAAATGTATCCTTTTTCTAACCAATATTTTTCTATCTTCAACTATACTTTCACTACTCAGGCTCAGAGTTCATGGAAATTGACCCTGAACTCTACGGATTGCGAAGGTCCCGACGTACAACTACAATACAAAGTTATAGAGTAAGTTTTTTTTTTAAATAAAATAAACTATTGTTTTAATTAACTTGATAAAGTGTTGAAACAAACTTATATCTCTTCATCTGCTCTTGTTTAGGTACCATCATCATCTTCAGAAGAAGAATCAGACTCCGAATTAGAATTGTCTAATCCAAGAAAGAGAAAAAAGGGAAGCGTCAGTAAAAAGACATCTCCACTTAAAAAATCTAGATTGAGAAGATCTAATGGTATGTTTCTCACCTCTATATTTCTGCATAGTGCCCATTTATCCATGCAGTTTGATTTTTTCTATACGCGAAATATTAGAATCTTGTTGATATAGATATGCTTATGCACACTTTACAGATGAACATTGGGATGCGTCCGGTTCAAACGATGAAAGCGGTTTTGATTCATCTTCTCAGTTGAGCAAATCAAGCACATCCTCTCCTGATTCTATCTCAGATAACGAGTGGAATATGCCGAGCAAAACATCATCTAGGCAGAAGAAAAAGAATTCTTTCATTAACGCTAAAGACTTTGTTATAGAAAATCGATACTCTCGACGTACTCGTACGGTAACAACCTATAACGAAGAAGAGCTTGATAAACAATTGGGATTAGAGGCCGATGATGATGATATTCGATATGAAGAAGATTATCAACTTGAAGAAGGTTTGATATTTATTACATTATATTTATTTAATCCTTTAAGTTTATACGCGTAATTATACTATGAAATAGCTATTATAATGTTTGAATTTTATTCAACAGAAGAGAATACGATAGAGAGCATACATGATATCAGGAAAATTGAAGGAAGAGGTATGTTATTTATAAATACCTACAATGAAACGAGTTGTACAAATTGATGATTATTAAGGCATATTTAAATTAATTTTATATTGATGTATATTTCATAGATCCCAATGAACCGGAGGATCCGAGGACGAATATGGAATTCCTAATCAAGTGGAAAGGATGGAGTCATATGCACGATACATGGGAAACGTACGAAAATCTTAAAGAACTAAAACTAAAAGGATTTAAAAAGTTGGAGAACTATATCAAAAATTACTTAGCTGACCAGCGGTTGTTATCAGAGAGCCCTGAAGATAAGGAAACGCTTGACGTGAAGATGGAAATGGCTCGTGATGTGTTAAAGGATTATAAAACAGTAGAACGAATAATTGCAGAAAGATCTATATCTCCATCCTCAGATAATCCATCACCAACCACGGAATATTTGTGCAAATTTAAGCGTCTTCCTTACCAAGATTGCACTTGGGAAAAGGCTTCAACAATTCAAAAAGACTTTAATTCTGAAATCATTTCCTTTATCGACCGTAACCGTAGTTTGTTAGTTCCTCACCGATCCAGGCCGTACAAAAGCCGTCCAACGTTTAAGCCTTTAACAACACAGCCAACTTATTTAGTTGGCGGTGAGCTACGAGACTTTCAATTAACTGGTTTAAATTGGCTTGCTCATTTATGGTCAAGAAATGAGAACGGCATACTCGCTGATGAAGTATGTAAATCTTCAAACATAGTTATATTATATGCAATAACTTTATTCTAAACCTTTTCTTGTAATATATGTTTCGTATTTAAACAGATGGGTCTTGGAAAAACTATTCAAACTATTTCATTCATTTCATATTTGTATCATGACCATGGTCAATATGGCCCTTTTTTGGTAGTAGTGCCACTATCAACAATTGGCTCGTGGCAAAATGAATTCCAGACCTGGGCATCTGATATCAACGTCATTATATATAGTGGTCCTTCCCAGAGTCGTGAAGTAATACGTGAACATGAATTTTATATCCCGTCTACAACCGGGAGTAAAAAACTAAAGTTCAATGTCTTAATTACCACATATGAATTCATTTTGAAAGATCGACAGGAACTCGGCAGCATTAAATGGCAATTCTTAGCGGTTGATGAGGCACATCGTTTGAAAAATAGTGAATCTCAGCTTCATGAAGTCTTGCTAACATTTAACACAGCAAATCGGCTATTAATAACTGGTACTCCTTTACAGAATTCTGTCAAGGAATTGTGTGCATTGGTAAATTTTTTGATGCCAGAGTTTGAAATTACTGGTGATATCGACATTGATGCCCCTGATGAGGAACAAGAAGCCAAAATTCGTGATCTTCATAAACGCCTTGAGCCTTATATGCTTCGTCGCCTTAAAAAAGATGTTGAAAAATCATTACCTCAAAAGACTGAAAGGATTCTAAGAGTGGAAATGTCATCACTTCAAATGCATTATTATAAAAACATTCTTACAAAGAACTTCGATGTATTAAACGAAGGTATGACCGGATCTTCTCAGATGAGTCTTTTGAATATAGCTGCCGAATTAAAAAAGGCAAGCAACCATCCATTTTTATTCCCGAATGCTGAATCTTTAACCATCAGAAAGGAAGATCAATTACGTGGATTAATAAAAAATAGTGGGAAAATGGTGCTTTTAGACAAATTATTAACTAGACTAAAAGAGTCCAACCATCGTGTTTTAATATTTTCCCAGATGGTTCGTTTATTGGATATTTTAACTGATTATCTGAAATTGAGAGGTTATCAGCATCAGCGTTTAGATGGAAGTGTCCCTTCTGAAGCCCGTAAAAAGGCCATAGAACATTTTAACGCCCCGAATTCACCAGATTTTGTATTCTTGCTATCTACACGTGCGGGCGGCTTAGGAATTAACCTTAATACGGCTGATACTGTGATAATATTTGATTCAGATTGGGTATGATATATATTGATGTTTTATCAAAATTAATAATTTTAATAAACTGATTTATTGTTCTATTACTCTTTAAACTTTAGAACCCACAAAATGATCTTCAGGCTATGGCTCGAGCCCATCGTATTGGTCAGAAAAATCATGTCAATGTATATCGGTTCGTGTCGAAAGATACAATCGAAGAAAGCATTCTTGAACGTGCTAAACGCAAGATGGTACTAGAATACTGTATCATCAAACAGATGGATACTTCAGGAAAGAGTATCTTGCAAAAGAGCTCAAAGAGTGCAAAATCCTCAGATAACTTCAGTAAGGAAGAAATATCTGCAATTTTAAAATTTGGTGCTCAAAATATATTCAAAGAATCAGAAAATTCAAAGAAGCTTGATGATCTTGACTTAGACGATATTCTCGCTCGAGCAGAAACTCACGACACTGTTGGTGATCAAACTAGTAGCAGCTTGGGTGGCGAAGAATTCCTTAAACAATTCCAAGTCGCAGATTTTGGAGGTGGTGACATAAGTTGGGATGATATCATCCCTCAAGAAGAAAGAGATAAGTTCGCTAAGCTTAATGCAGAATCCAATATAGTTCAGGAGCCAGAGTATAAGGTTGGATTAAAGCGAAATACAAGTTCTCAGGACAGTCGGCTAAAGATTATCGATTCTATCACTTCAGATGATGATACGTCGCATAAGAAGAAATCTCGAAAGAAGAAAAAGTCACAGATCAAAAGTAAAAAGAATAGAGACTCTGACGATGATTCTGATATACGTCCTAAAAAGTCCAAATCATCCAGTAAAAAGTTTATAAATTCTGACGATGACCAGCACAAAAAGAAACACAATGGAGGGCGTAAATATGAAGAATCAGACGATGACAAGTTTTTGAAAAAGAAATCTCATAGTGATCGTTCAAAATATGCTGAATTGGATGGTGACAGTGGACATCGAAAAAAGAAAGCTAGTAGCAGTAAAAAGAATGCAGATTCAGATGAAGACAGTCGCTCAAAAAGAAAATCTAACGGTGGTCGTAAAAAATATTCAGAATCTGAAGAAGAAAACCAAAAGAGATTGTCTATTAAAAAACCGAAAGTTTCGTCCTCGAGCAAATCACGAGATTTGTCAGTTAAAGATATTAGAGCGTTGTATAAAAGCGTATTAAAGTTTGGGGATATTCATGTGCGCTATGAGGATGTTGTTAATGATGCCGATTTGCAAGACAAGAGCAAGGAACAACTATTTGAAGCTTACAATTCGCTTTTTGCGGCTTGTGAAAAGGCTGTTAGAGATTACGAGATAGCAAATGATGCAAATCCAAATGGTCAACAAACTCGTTCAATCCCAAATCCTCGTAATAAGGCAATACAAGCCTCTTATAATGGGGTTGACAAGCTCAACGCCGGCTTGTTTATTCAACGTATTGCTGAATTGCGTAGATTGGATAAAATGATGAAAGGTACAAGTTTTGATTTATATTGCGTGATTTACCATAACTTGGGATCAATTTTCTCATTTATTGTTATTAAATCTAGATTTCTCGAGTCCTGATAAGTTTAAGATATCAGTTTCCACAAAACCTGTTAACAATTGGACCGTATCATGGGATCAAAAAGATGACGAAATGTTAGTAGTTGGTATATATAAACATGGTTTTGGTAATTGGAAAGCCATCCGTGAGGATCCACGGTTGGGTTTAACGGATAAGCTTATCGATGAAGAAGTAGATTCATCGCAACGAAATTCACAAACTGCCAAAATCGTGCGTAGGGCCTATTATTTATTAAAGATGCTACACGATTTGGAAGAGGAAGAGGAACAACAGAAAGTATTTATCGAATGATCTATTATTTTTATCGTTTGTGCAAACATTTGTTTGAGATTAATTTTCTTTATCATTTTACAAATTGGTCATTAAAGGGACGACGTTCCAAGATACGTCCTAGTACACGTGATGATAGTCATAGCGAACAAGTGCCGACTTCTACATATAATATTTCTTCTAAAGACAAAAAAGCATTAAAGCGAGCTAAACGTGAAGAAGATGAATCGTCAATCCCCGATGACAGAGCTTGTAAAGAATTATTACGTCCGGTTAAGGATAAACTTCAATGGCTAAAGAAGGCAAATATTTAAATAAACGCTTCGTATCTCATCTCATTTATTTTTCTATAATTCAATACTAATAATGATTCATAAATTCGTATACTCTTTCAGGAATCAAGCCAATACACCGGCAAAGAGAAGGCACGACTCATTAAAGAGTCGCTCAAAGTCATCGGTGCTAGAATAGCTGAAATCATATCCACGAGGCATGCATCAGAACGGTCAAAGTGGCAATTCAATTTATGGCAGTTTGTGACGTATTTTTGGCCTAAGGATAATATCGGGCCAGAAAGATTGATAGATATTTATCGTAAGTTGGAGGCCGCCGAAGCTAGTGGTTGGACCCGTCCGAAAAATCATGACCCGGGTAACCCGCGGGTCACCCGGGTGGATAAATGATCTTTCTTCTATAATTATAATATGAAATTAATAAAATATTTGATGAATTGCACAAGAACTATACTAGAACTGATTCATAACATGCCAGTATAATAACTATTAGTAAATTGAAGAAAAAGGACAATGGACTTTATAAGAAAACAAGGCATCGTTTGATGTATTGTTTCCTTGTGAAAAAGCAAAAATTGTAGATGAAACTGTCCTAAAATTATTTGATTTGATGGACATGATTTCCCCTTTGTATATTTTACTTAATTGTATATACGAATGAGTATATATATAATTTGTATATTCTCTTGTATCTGGGAAAATAATTAGTGATTTTGAACAAGAATTCAATTTTTGATACACAATATACATAATATAGAGGTTTCCCAACTTGATGGTCCAGAAATATTGTAATGTTGGTCAGCATGATAAAGACCGCTTAGTAAATAACTTGTTAAATTTTATTCGGTAAGCGAATTTTTGAAAAATCTCACGTGAATTGTATGTAGATCAAACCTTGAAAACTATATACTTTACAAATAAAAATCATTTTCAGAATAACGGTAATGCGTTTTATGGATTCATTTTATGCTTGTGGAACGAGAGTGTACGGTCTGCGAATGTCGCACTAACATGGTCTATTATCACGGCTGAGTAATGGTAAGTTGACAATTCGCCACAAACTTTCTAACATTATTTTATGACGATATAAGCACAATTTGGAAAAGAATTAAATTGTACATGATTAGATCACGCATTTTCGTATTGACGTACGTATGTGCGTACTGTACATGTACAATACGTGCGTACGTACATCCGTATGTCACCCAATACAGTTTCCGAAATCGATTATTACTACAGATACAGTAGAACACAATATTTTAAATATACTTTATTCGCGAAGACAGATTATGTAAAGTATGAAATTTTAACAGAATTTGATAATTTTCATTAATGGCTTCGCCAAAGAGTAATAAAAACGGGTTAAGTTTTTAATTGATTATAAAATTAAGCCCTATCTGTTTGCTAATAATAAGAAATTTTACTTTAAAAATAAAAAATTAGTTTTTTTAAAAAAAAAGTTATTTATTATTATTAATTTTTTATACGTACGTATAAATTTTAAACAAAAATAATTATTACGTACTTTAATTTAAAAATTAAAAAAAAAATTTATTATACAGCATTATATACATATCTTTTTAACAAATTCATATGTAATACAAAAATATAACTATATAACGAAAATCTGGGCTGAAAAAAAATCCCGTTAGGCCGAGCTTGGTTTCTCATAACTTTTAAATAGACCCGGCCGGCTTTTTTAAAAAAATTTCATATATAATATTTTAAAAAACTCACCCGGTTTTCAAAACATTTAATTTTTTTGAAAGTGTTCAAAATTGACCCGGCCGAGTTATGAAAACCAATTAATTGATTTTTTATTATTATTATTACCGTTATAAATTATTTATATATTGAAAATTCTGTTCTTTGCAATCTGCCGTTAAACCGCTGAACCCCAAGGATGTCTATTATATCGGTAGTTAATTGTACACAGGTTACCGAACGATTTACTTGTATGGCATAAGTAAATCGTTCGGCAACCCGTGGTATTTCTCTGTATATATATAATAATTAAAAATTAATTTTATTTATACGTATACATATAAAAAATTTTTTAACTATATATAGTATTTGTAATTTTTTTATACTAAACAAAGTAGATTATAGCTATTATTTATTTTTTTTTATATTGTATAAAAAAAAATTTTTTTTAAAAAAAATGATTTTATAATATTACCAATAATTCTTTATGGGAATATTATTATAGTGCTATAGCACTATGGCGCTACTCTATATGTAAATACAAAATTGGTGTAACATGTAAA